TCGGGCTGGTGATGTGGCTGTTTCATCTGTGGTCTCTCAAATATATGTGTAGTCCCCAGAATGCAGTCCTATTTTCTCAAATGTGAAAGGCTGAAGACCAGCTGAAGAGTGTAGTGTGACAAAGGGGTTGATTATTTAACATACAAACTTTCTCTTGACACTCATATGTTTTCAACAAAGTACTTCAGTCTCATCCTCAGCTATGCCTGGTATCCAAAGTATTTGTGGTTCAACTTCTCCAAAGAGTTGGAGTTCTGCTAGAAAGGTGAAAAACCAACCAGCTGCCTGGTTGGGCCAGCTTCAGATGGGGATCAAGGTAGAGTGGAGATGGGGAGTGATGGTGTTCTCATTTTCATGCAAATTCATACTGACAGAGATAAGGAGGTAGCTAGCAAGGAGGAGCTATTTTCTGGGCAGTGGAAAACTGCAACTTCCATGAAACTGCTGCTCAGAACTGGCGTCAACCAAAAATAACCAACATGACTGCCAACTGTATCCTACAGTGACTTGTACCTATTAATTATAATGTTAAAATAAAATTACCACACTGATACCTGAAGCCACCACAGTCCCGAGAATTCCAAAACAGGGCAAGGTGGTACTCAATCCCGCCCCAAACCCTGCTCCCTGTGAGTATTTAAGATCCACCTCAGATGCCACCTACTAGGCTTCCAGGTCATGTAGAGATAACCCCAAACCTCACTGAGTGTAGCTTATTCTTGCCATATGCTTACACACCTTCTCCAGTATGTACTTACACTTTGCACACAAATAGATCTTGCTTTTCTTCTAATCTTTACCTACATCTCATCCTTGAAATTTCTCCTGTGTTGGACACAAAAACCAGGACCCAGACATCAGACAACATCTTGATCCAGCAACTGTATGACAACACTACTCTATGCTTATGGTGGCCATCCTGAAAATCAAATCCCCAAGTAGTGACTGGATTCTATGGATAAATCAACCTGCTTCTTCTTGTCCCTCACCCTTTAGGATTCATTTTTGTCGATTCTGTTGAGTCAACTGTCAATGGGGTTTCTAAATTCTCAAATTTTGTGGGTGTCATTCATCTGCCATTATCTCTGCTCCCCTTCTCTCTGCCCATATATTACATCTTTGCTATTATTTATTCTGGAGTTAACAGAAATGGACATGCATATTCAATCTGCTATTTTAGTAGGAAGTCTGTCATATGCTTTTCAAGTCTAAGAGTTAGTTAATATCATCGTAAAGACACAGGCTTGGGAGTAGGTTAAACACCTACTAGTGGTTAAGACACCCGCATTTCACACCAATAAACTGTCAGCTCTGGTCCCCAATTCTAGTTTCTTGACAATGAAGATCCTGGGAGGCAGTGGTGATGGCTCAAGTTATTGGATTCCTGCCATCCACGTGGGAGACACAGATTAGATTCCAGGCTCTTGGCTCTAGGTTCAGTCCCAGCCCCAGCCCCAGCCCAGCACTGGCCTTTGTGGGCGTCTGAGGAGTGAAACAGAAGGCAGCAGTTAATTTGTGTCTGTCTCTAAATTAAATACATTTTTAAAGGGGCTAGGTATTTAGCCTAGCAGTTAAAGTGCTGGTTAATACACCCACATCTTATTGGAGTATCTCAGTTTGATACTCAGTTCTAGCTCCTGACTCCCATTTCCTTCCTGCTAACACAGACCTTGGAAAGCGAAGGTGGCAAAGGTGACGGGTTAACTTCACACCCATTGTGGGACTACTGACTCCCACATAGGAGACACATATTGAGTTCCTGGCTGCTGGCTTTGTCCAGCTGTTGCAAGCATATGGGGAGTGAATTAGTGGATAGCATATTCATACCTGCCCCTGTGTTTCTCCAAAAAATAAGCAAAAAAAATTTTTTTAAAGGACACAGGCTTTTGAGTCAAAGAATGGAATTTGAATCACTCACATGTGTAACCTTCGGAGTTTCTTAACTTCTCCAATCTTGTTTCCTTATTAAAAATAACTTGCTGTGAGAATTAATGATATACGAATATAGGACTTGGAGTGAGAAAGACCTGGCTTTAAATCCTGTGGGACTTGGCCGGCGCCGCGGCTCACTAGGCTAATCCTCCGCCTAGCGGCGCCGGCAAACCGGGTTCTAGTCCCGGTCGGGGCGCCAGATTCTGTCCCGGTTGCCCCTCTTCCAGGCCAGCTCTCAGCTGTGGCCAGGGAGTGCAGTGGAGGATGGCCCAGGTGCTTGGGCCCTGCACCCCATGGGAGACCAGGAAAAAGCACCTGGCTCCTGGCTCCTGCCATCGGATCAGCACGGTGCGCCGGCCGCGGCGGCCATTGGAGGGTGAACCAACTGTGGGGAGCAATCCGGACTAGACTGAGTTACTGGAATTAAGACTTATTCTATGCATCTGCTCTCCCACAATATGGCGCTGGGAGAGAAGTAAACAGCTTCTGCACAGCTGCCTCCAGTTCAACCAATAAACTGTAGGACTTGCTCCTGATTGGAGGAGAGCAGCGTACTCGGCGTGTGGGCAGCCGAGTTGGGATTGGCGGAGGAGGACTATAAAGGAGGAGAGAGACGGCATGCACCAGGAACATCTAAGGGGAACATCTAGCTGAAGGAACACCTGTGCAGCCCCCGAGAGAACCAGCCGGCGGTGTGCTGCTCCCCTGCGGAAGTGGGGAAAGCGGCCAGGGGGAACTGCCCTTCCACGGAGGTGGAAGGGATAGTAGCCAACCCGGGAAGAACCAGCAGCAAACCCGGGGAGGGCCGAGCAGACGAAAGAACAGCGCAGGGTCCTGTGTTGTTCCTCCACGAAGAGGGGGAGCGACATAATGGTGCCGTGACTCGGATATGAAGCCTAGGCAGGGTTTAGTGTCGTTCCTCCATGAAGAGGGGGAGCGACACCAACGGCAAAGGAAGACCTTTCTCCCTGTCTCTCTCTCTCACTGTCCACTCTGCCTGTCAAAAAAAAAAAAAAAAAAATCCTGTGGGACTTGACAACTCTAAGTCTGTTTCTTTATCTGTATAAAGGGGTTAAGAATAGTTACTAGCTAATATAGCATCAGAAGGATTAAATATGATAAAGTTTACAAAATTCATCTGAACCGGTATCGTTGCTCAAGCCTTCTATGCCTGTAATTTCACAAACATGCACGCGTACAAGCTCCAGGGCATGTCTGAATCAAAACCAAATTCCAAATCCTCTGCAAAAGCAACACAGTATAACAGAAAGGGGCAGTGAATTAAGACACAGGAAGTCTGGGCATTATCATAAACAGGCATGATCACTAGGCTGGTTTCTCATTTGTAAGATAATAGAACCAGATCAAATGATTTCTAAAGCTCTTTCCAACCCAACTGACTTTCCCTGACTCCACTGCTAGACATGAACCGACACTCTACACACCTAATGTCTCAATCTCAAAATATCTGACTGGCTGGTACTACTCATTTTTATAGGTATTTTCATGTTTCTTTTTTAACTAGGTACCACATGAAAACCAAGATAAGTTACTCCCCCAAACTAACATAAAGGAATTGGCCACCCTTTGAAAAACCATTAAACTGATGTGTTTTCTGATTAAAGAATGAGTGGCAAAATTATTGAGACTTTCAATGAATGTGACTAAAAGCTACAAAAAAAGTTGTTAATTAACTGAAGAAATAATATGTCAATTAGATGATGGGGTGATTTCCACTTTTACCATGATCCCGATGACAAATTTTTCCCAGTTGTGGGAACTGGACATCAGTCTTGGTCTGACACTACTAACGTTCACATTACGGAAACCATGTTCTGAGATTCTAGGCTCACCAGCAACCTTCTGTTCATGGTTTGGCTTCCCACAAAGAACTCCTAATAGGAAAAGACAGGTCCCTACTGTCAACGTTTACTTCTTAATGTAAACGAGTGAAGTGGCACTATGATTTTACACACTGGCATCATCTGAACTACCCCTAAGAAACAGACCCACGGGGTGCCTCCCCCAGGATGCCTTAGTACATTCCTCCAGATGGCCCCTGAGACTTCTTGGAACACAATCACAGAATTTTTCCACATTCAGTTTAAAGATTATAAAGTTCTGAAAGGAAGGAATGACATACTTTTCTACATTTCTGAAGCCAGCAATACTGCCAAGCACACAACTCAGTTTGCTGGGTAACTGTGTCTCCATTGTTTCTTACAGTTTCCCTGAAGGCACTCGTTCTTGCATAAAACAATTTTCTATATACCCTTTGGCAGTATCATTTGGATATTCTGGATACATGACAAATACTGTGTTAAGAAAAGGAAGGAAAGTAACAGAGAGCCAGGAAACTGGTAAAGAACGAGAGACAAAGTAAAACCCCACAATTTCTTTCACCAAGGCTTTTTTTGGCACCTCTTCCCTTGTAACTGATTTTTAGTCTCTGTTATCTGCACCCACAGCCAAGCAGGTATGAGCCAACTAGAAATTGGCAATCTGAATATACTGCCTCAAGTCCCCCAGCCTGAGGCTACAGCATTTCTAGGAATAAAGTTACCTGTTACATAGAAGACTTATATTCACACACTACACTCTTAGTACTAAAAAGAGAAATTCACTATTTAGAGTAGACCAAAATGGTTGGGTATGAGGCTCTGGACTACCTTTTAACATCAGTGCCATATAATTCCATATACAAGGATAAGTTAGTGACTAGAAGTAATAATTAGAAGCAGCCATTCATTCATTCTGTAAAATTCACTAAACTTCTGCTCTGAGCCAGGTCACATGTTAGAATTTAGAGTTAAAAGTATCAAGAGACATTATATCCCTTGCCTTCAGAGAGTACGCAGACAAGCAAATAAAACAAATGAAAGCAGTTTTATGTTGAATTTAAGATTATTATCTTTCTGCAGAAGTGAGGATTTTATTTGCCTTTCCTTTCAGGTCTGGAATTGAGAATAAGCATGAAGCAGTGATCCAGCACTGTGCCTCAAAGATCTTCATGTGAGGAAGTAAATGACATTTGACTTTGTTACATTTAAAAGCATGGTAGAGACACATAACATCAATAATTTTTTTTATTTGCAAAGCACTTTACAATTTATACAATACTTTCATCACATCCATTATCTAATTGAATTCTTAGCCCTGTAAGGTATGTAAAGATCATTATCTCCTCTCAGGATAAACTGTTTAGAGAAGTGACATGCCATAATTTACAAACCTAGTTATTTAGTAAAAGAAACCTAGATTTTTTTATTCTTAAAGTTAATTTTTGTTTTATCATGATGCTCAAATTTCGAAGAAAAATCAAATGACTCATTTACAGTCATTCTTAGAAATGTGTACAAGATCTTCAAAATAATAAGCACATTTAATTATTGTAGTTTCCCTTCAATCTGAAAAATTATGCAAAATAACACATGAAATGATTTGTGAAGACTTAAAAATTCTCATAGTGCCCATTCTTAACCTTCCCAAAATCTGTTCACATATCAATACACTCTGATGTGCCAATAATTTACGTCAAGAATATTTTATGATTAAAAAACAGTCTGTGAAATTATGATGTTTCCTACAAAGTCACTGTGTAGGTTTTTCAAATAAACTTGAAAAGCTGAGGGAGCTCTCCCAGAAACCACTTCACTATCTGGGAGCCAGTTACCCTGTTGCTTCATTTTCAAGTACACAGTTGGATAATTCATTGATAGTACAAAAATTCAAGTTTTCTCAACCCTTAAAACACTGAGATAATTATTCAAGTAAAAAGGAAAAGCCATTCGGCTCAAAAGAATTTATCCAGCAATAAAACTTAAAGAAACCCTTTTCCAAAATGGAGTTTGTGGTAAGAGTAAACAGGTCCATGAAAACTGCAAATATTCCCTGTGGTGTAAGACAGTGCTCTCAGGGAAGTGCAGCTCTAGTTATCTCTAATTCTGTTTCAACTCTAAGAGGAAAAAACACACCTGCACTGAAACCACCGCATAAACACACACAACTGATTTACAAATGTAACAATCAGTATAACCTTATTTTAAAAATTTACTATGAAATAATTTTAACACAATCACCAAAAGCACGTTCCTCCTCTGATACCAGTCACTTACCATATAAAGTTAGAAGAGTTATCCAAGGTAACAGAGTCTAAAAATACATTTTTTTTTCTCATGCTGAACTACTCGGATTAGTATTTAATCCCAAACATCATCAGGTTTTGCTTTAAAAATGCCAGGATAAAAAGATTAGTGAAATGCAAACTCTCAAAACCTACCATCTAGAAATGCCCCTGCCACTAAAGACTTTTATGACTGTCCAGGTGCATACCCTCATCCCCAACAGCACACTTATCACAAACTAAAGTAAAAACAAAGCAGACAATGACTGCGTGAGGATAACGGAATTGATTTCTGGAAGAAACATTAGAGTTTTATACAGTATAATGAAGGCAAGGTAAACTGGAAGGATACCTAATGATTAAACAAGTATTTTTCTTTAAAATTACAGCATCTGCTTAGTTTCTACTTGAGTTTTGGGCTTGAGACAATCACAAAGATCCCAATGTGAAAAAAAACCCTCCAATAAAATCCAAATTTGTTATAAGAATGTAAACATTTTTAATTGAAAGTGCCCTTTCTGGTCATTAAAAAGCCAAGTTGGGGGTCAGTGTTTAGCCTAACAATTAAGCCACCCACACCTCACATCTGAGATACCTGGTCTGATAACTGGCTCCAGTTCCTGACTTCAGCTTCTTTCTAATACAGACTTAGGGAGGCAGAGACAGCAAGCAACTGGGTTCCTGCCACCCACCTAGGAGACCTGGATTGAGCTCCAGATCCCATCCTAGTCACTGCGGGCATTTGGGGGAGTGAACAAGCAGATAGGAGCCCTCTCTCTCAAATAAATAAATACCAAGTTTAAGGAAAAACGGAATTAAAAGCTTAGCTTAAAAAAAAAAAAGCTTCATTGGCCATTACTAAAACTTAAAATATTCTTTTCCATTCTCAAAACCTTTTCCTAAAGAAAAAAATGATCAATTTTCTATAAAAATTAAAACTTTTAAGATTCCCATATTTGCTGAACTAAAAATTTACAAACTGAAAATCTGAACAGGTTATACTCTGTTACATATAAAATAAGACAGATTTTTAAAGATTTGTATAACATAAATAAAGAGAAAAGATATGCAACTATATTTTTCACAACCAAACAGAAAAGGTTTTCCACTTGAAATGACAATTTAACAAAGTAATTTCTAACATAATCTGCAATTTCAGTATGAGTTCTAAATTCTGAAAATGCTTGGAATAAAATTTGATAACACTAGATAAAGACAGCCAGAAAGCTTTTGGGAAGAGCCCAGAATCTGAAGTTCAAAATGTTTTATACAATAAAAATTTAAATACAACATATTTAAGTTTAAAATAAAATTTAAAACTTTAAGAACACTGTCAATTATTTTAAAAGGGGGAGGGGGCTTCTAAAATCATGATGAAAAATCAAAGCATGTTTGCCTGTTTTATAAATACTTGTGTCCTTTCTTGGATTTAGGAATCCATTTTAGCCCATGTCCCTTGGAGTTCTTCCATCTTTCATCTCACTGAACAGCACTGTCACATTCAGATTATAACATCCAGCCAAAGGCAGAGATCAAGTATTTCCCCTGAATATTTCCAAAACATGAAAACGAGTAGAAAAGCAGAGGAAATCCTCTCATGCGGGGAGCTGCTGGAAATCTTTCTCTCCTTTTAGAAAAATAAACCTCTTGCTCCAAAAGGTGAAAACATCACCATCATATGAAAACACATAACCACTTACAATAATAATTCCACACAACAATGAAATCCTATAGATTTTGCTAGTACTTCAGAAAAACAAAAACCAGGAAAAAAAGGAAATGATAAAGAACTGTATGGCAAAGGATTTTTTTTTTTTTTTCAGAAAAAGAACAGCAACAGAAGACATAGATTTGCCAAAAATCCCCCCACCCTTCAAATGTGGATTCCTTAACACTAACTGAAAAAGTTTTATAATATAATCAGTTGATGCCAAATTAGTTGATTCTGTTTAAGTATAAAGAAAATACCTGAATTAATTTCCTCTATTTTAAAAATGAGTTGGTTCAGTATATATTTTTGATCCAGTTACTTATGAAACCATTCTCCCTGCTGTGCCACTATCTCAAAAATCTTTGGAATAAAAAGAACACTACAGACACAATTTTCACATACCTTTATCATTTACAACTCTCAGTCTATTTATTTTTTAGCTTAAACATACTTTACTGTAAAAGGGAAAACTAATTCAATTCAAATATTCTCAACGTACACATACACAATGTACATATACACGAAGGCATCACTTCTCTGCACACAAATCTTTAGATTTCTGCAAAGTATGACACAAAAAGTTGCTTGGGTTTCATAAACTAAATGATTTAACTAATTTTGCTTTATGGTTCCTTAAAAAATTCTAAAACTATTCTACAACTATTCACATTATTCATCCCACTGAGAAGTCTCTCATGAGAATAAAACATAAAACATTTAACTTTCTAAATGATAGTGTTGAAAATTACAGAGCAGTTATACTTCCATATGTAAAAAATAAATTAAAAATCCTTTTAATTAATCAGTATATTCTAATATTCCCTGTTAAAAGAAGTCAATTGCACATGAAGCCGAAGTAGCTGGAAAGAATCCAGAAAAGCAACAAGAAAATGACTTTTCAAAATGCTGACGCCGTTCACACCCAGGTTCAGTCATGCCAGCTGGAGAGAGGTGTTAGATATGGCTTTATTCCTTTTAAATCTGAGAACTGTAGTCATTTCCATGACATTTCAAAAATTGGAACCTAGAGCAATTTATCTTCCTGATACTGACTCTTGTGATTCAAAAGCGTTTTCAGAAAATCGTATCTGTAAACTTAGAAGGCGTCTGGACGGATCATTTGCTAGCTATCACTTACAGTCCAATTATCCTGTCCTGGATTTCCTAGTTCACTAGGAATATAAAGAGATAAAAAGGAGGGGGAAAAAGGGCCACACACAGAGTGACCAAATACGTGATTCATCTCAGACGTGACATCCATTTAGGGGGCCTTTGCTCCTAACTGTGTAAGGATCCTTGGCTGTGGTCTGACCTGTACAAGAAGTACACATGGCCCCGGAGAGGTGCTTCAGTCCCCTTTGGAAGACACTGTTGGAGAGACTATAAATGACACAATTGCAGAAACTGTTACTGATAGCAAGCCAGGTGGTCAAGAAGGATGCAAAGCGGTTGCTGTGGCCAGTGGAGCTTTCCAACAAGAAGTAGATGATATACGGCAACCAGAGGATGTAAAATACACTAGTGATGCGGAACAGGACCATAGCATAGCGCTTGTCTGGACAGGCCTGCACTTCCCCAGTCTCCCCACTCTGGCTGCTGAAGCGGGCTTGCCTTTCGCTGATTTCCTTTGTGTGCTGTTGGCAGATGCGGAAGATGTTGAAATAGGTGAAGCAGACAATGAGGGCAGCTGGGGCATATAGCATCATCACGATGAACAGGGTGAAGTAGGGATCGGTGTGCCAGGACTCTGCACACCACTGAAACACATCTCCATGATATCCAGGTTTGCCCCAGTGGAAAAAGGAAGGCAGGAAGACCAGGCTGGAATAAAGCCAAATCAGGAAAATACACAGACGTAGCCTCCAGGGTGTCACCAGTGTGTTATAGGTTAAAGGTTTAGTGATGGCAATGTATCTATCAATGCTGATACAGGCCAGAGAGGCCATGGAGACACTCTTCAGAACTGACACTACAAAACCAAATATCTGGCAAGACAGTGACTCCTCTACTGGAAGGGGGTAGTGCAGGAGTGATAAAGAAGGGACCAGGCAGCTTACCCCAACCAAAAGGTCAGCATATGCCATAGTCTGGATAAAGTAACTTGTGGTGTGATGGTTTAGCAAAGGTGCACAATGAGATACAAAAATCACAATGATGTTGCCAGAAATGATCAATACAGTTAGAAAAACAATAATCAGCACTTCCAAAAGGCAAAAGTCGACAGTTTCCAAATAACCAAGTGCCAAGAGGCAAAAAGGGCGGCTGCTCTGATTACCATCCAAGGTGGAGCTGGAGTTCATCTTGAGCTCAGGAGCCATCTCTCACTTCATGCTGCCGCTTGGCTGCTGCCAGCAGTTCGAAGGAGCAGCTCCTGTCATTGCGGTCAGCTCTGCATGTGTGTAATAATGGCAGAGGAGCCTTAGTCCCCAAGTTCCTGATGCTGCCGCTCTGGTGCATTGTCTGCAGAGCAATTCCCCTTTAAATCCTTCCTGGAACAGGGAGAGCCAGCAGCAGCTGTGTGGCCAGTCTCAGATGTGGCCATGGTGCCAGGTTCACCACACACATAGCACCAGGGGGGTAAGGCAAGCTCTGGGGGGCAACATCTTCAGGCCAAGTGAGGGCAGGGAGAAGGGGCGGAAGAGAAGGAAGGTTAGGAGCTTCAGCAGGAGTTGTAATGAGTCTCCTCTGAACAGCTGACAGAAGAAAAGGAGAGAGCATTTTATATTTTGCATTCAGTGCCCTAATCAAAGAACTCGGCTAGCCCAGACTGGCATTACCCTCCCACTCTACCCCTCCTAGCACCACTATTCACCATTACCTTCAATTACACCCCTATGTTAATTGCTTCTGACTTTAGAAAGGAGGAGCAGCCACATCAAGCTTTCAGGATCATTATAAAACAAAAGCAATCACAGTCAGATCAATCCACCCCCTTTTTCTTTCATTTGAGCCTTTTGGGGCAGAAAAGAAATTTGCTACAGCATTTCTGAAAACATTTCACTACAATTACCATGAATAAAACTGCCCAAGATAACTTATCTTCCTCACTGAATCCAATGTAATATTTTTGCCTCTTTACAAACATTTCAACAGAATTTATCTGTTTAGCTTAATTTCAGAATATTACCTGTAATTCTGCATGCTGCAATCCAAACAAAAGCCACAACATATCCTTAACAGAAAGCCTTGCAAAGCAGGAATGTGGTTCAGCCCTGAGTACTGCAGAATTGAGACAGAGAGGGAGGGGAAAAGAAGTAGGAGGGGAAACAGGGAGGAGAGGGGGCTTGGGAAAAGGAAGAAAGGAGGAGGGGAAAGAAGACGCATGTGCATGAACACACTCTGGCATCTTTGGCAATTCATTATAATTCATCACCAGAGAGGTGCACCCCGATATGCGGACTGCACAGTGGAGCGGGGTGGGGGGGGAGGCGGGGGAGGGCGGGGGGGGGCTGACTTTGTATGGCTGCAGTGCAGCATTTGAAAGCTGTTTCCTCGTCTGTCTGGAATCCCCCTTTTAGCAGATAAGCAGAATTTCTACTGGTAGCAAGAAGGGGTAATAGCCAGGATAGAGTCAGAAATTAAACTGAAACACACTGCCTGAGGGGTAATGGTGAGGGGAAATTCCTATTTTCTTGTGACATTTTCCAAACAAAGAGCAATATTAAAGAAAGGAAGTACGTGAACAGTACACAGTAACCTAGAAAACATAATTCAGCTGCACAATAAGTCCTAGCTGGAAGACTAAAAATTCAGTACTAGTCATCTTCCTCATGATTTCCTGGATATTGGCCAATATTAAGAAACTTTAAAATCTGTTTTTTCCCCAAGGGAAAAATAAAGAAAATATTACCAATTCTGAGTTCTCCAGAAATAGCACACACTTAGGAAGTGTACCTATCTCCATCCAACCTCAAAAATTACAAGAAGCTTCATGAATATGCACACTTGTTTCTATTTAGAATAATGAAAATTGGGTTTATATTGTGTTTTTTCTGGTAGTGTCATAAATGATGACACTTTTCAGGTCACCGGGAGTGTGGTGCTAGGGAACCATGTTGGCATTTCTAAGCATTGCAGGAGGTCTGCACACCTGGTAGAGAAATACTTCGTGATTCAACTGGTATTTTTCATTTATTTTATACAAATGCTTTCTCACTGCAGGTAAATGACCATTCATAATTGGAATTCAATGAATTTATATTTTAAATCTGAAGCACTTTCTACCCATATAACATGTTAGTACATGAAGGCAAAGAAATAAAAAAATCTATTACAATATAAGCCTGATGAGCAATGTTTGACAAAGTGTTGATAGAAAACTAGGGAAAGTACAGCACAGTAAAAAGACCAACAGTACCAAAGTACCCATCTGGTTCAAATCCTGCTCTAATATTACGTACTCCTAGCCTCAGTTTAATCATCTGAAAAATGAGGACAAAAATCCCTATGTCACAGCATCGTTTAAAAAACAGACAGTGGGGGCAGGTGCTCTGGCATAGCAAGTAAAGCCACTGCCTGCAGTGCTGGCATCACATATGGGTGCCAGTTAAAATCTCGGCTGCTCCATTAATGATCCAGCTCTCTGCTATGGCCTGGGAAAGCAGTAGAAGATGGCCCAAGTCCTTGGGACCCTGAACCCACGTGGGAGACCCGGAAGAAGCTTCTGGCTCCTGATTTCAGATCGGCCCAGCTCCAGGTGTTGCAACCATTTGGGGAGTGAACCAGCAGATAGAAGATGTCTCTCTATCTCCCTCTCCCTTTTTGTAACTCTGCCTTTCAAATAAATAAATAAATAAATAAATAAATCTTTAAAAAAAAAAAAAGACAGTGTATACAAAATGGTTTCCCCAACACCTAGTACATAGGGAGTGCCTATATAACTAAAACAGCCAATGTTCCCCACCAATCGTGCTACACTGCTTGATGCTTGCCTCCTCTGAATCAAGAAGAACCACAGCTTGCTGTAACTGCCAATTCCATAGCACACAATGCCTCTCTACTCAAAAACATTTAGGCTACTCATATGCAAAGCAGTAAAGGTATCTGGAAGAGGGCTGGCGCTGTGGCACAGTGAGTAAAGCTGCTGCTTGCAAGGCCAGCATCCCATATGGACTCTGGTTTGTGTCCTGACTGCTCTACTTCTGATCCAGCTCCCTGCTGATAGCCTGGGAAAAGCTCTGGAAGACAGCCCATACGGGAGACCAGGATGAAGCTTCCGGCTCCTGACTTCGCCCTGGCCCAGCGCTGGCTGTTGCGGCCATCTGGTGAGTGTACCAGCAGATGGAAGATTCTCTCTCTCTGCCTCTGTTTCTTCCTCTCTCTCTCTGTAACTCTTTTAAATGCACAAATGAATAACTCCTGAAAAAAGAATAAATATATCTGGAAACAAGGAATGATAATAAGCATCAATTATTCCCTCAACATAAACAATTTCTTTGTCTAGGCCTCCAGCCCTGAGTTCATCCTGTGTTGCCTTTTCTATCTATGATTTGCCTGTTACATATCCTCTACTTGATTGGCGTGCACAGATTTTATCCAACGTATGTTCAAAGCTAAATACATTTTTCCTGCCAAACAAGCTTCTCATTTCCCCCAACACTTCCCCAGGCTCTCTGGTATGAAATTTAGCAACCATTATGATCACTCCCTTAATTAGTCTCTCTTCACAGTCACCAATTCCTAGGAATCTTTTTTTTTTTTTTTTTTTGAGAAACGAAACGAAAAACCTTTATTTCTGCTCACACCTAAATCATTCCATGACTTTACCATGTATATTGTCCTTAAGTGATCGTACAGTATATATACCCTAGAAAACTAGAACATACTTTTAAGAATGAAAAAATTAGGGGTGGCATTGTTGTATAACAGGTTAAGCCACTGACCACAATGCCAGCATCCCATACAGGTGCCGGTTTAAGTCCTGGCTGCTCCACTTCTGATCCAGCTCCCTGCCAAAGTGCCTGGGAAAGCAACAGAAGATGGCCCCAGTGCTTGGGCCCCTGCACCCACATGGGAGAACCAGATGAAGTTTCTGACTCCTAGCTTCAGCCTTGCCCAGGCCTGACCATTGCAGCCATTTGGGGAGTAAACCAGCAGATGGAAGATATCTCTAGCTCTCTGTCCCACTGTTTGCCATAACTCTACCATTCAAATTAAAAAAATACATCCTTTAGGGGCTAGCGTTGTGGTGTAGTGGGTAAAAGCCGTGACCTGCCATGCTGACATCCCATATGGGCACTGGTTTGAGTCCAGGCTGCTCCACTTCTGATCCAGCTCTCTGCTATGGCCTGGGAAAGCAGTAGAAGATGGCCAGTCCTTGGGCCCTTGCACCCACGTGGGAGACCCAGAAGAAGCTCCAGGCTCCTGGCTTCGGACTGGCGCAGCTCTGGCTGTTGTGGTCAACTGGGGAATGAACTAGTGGATGGAAGACCTCTCTCTCTCTCTCTGCCTCTCCTTTTCTCTCTGTGTAACTCTGACTTTCAAATAAATAAATCCTAAAAAAAAAAGTGGATAGATTACTGTAAAAAAAAATAAATCTTTTAAAAAATGAAAACACTGCTTAACTGTTTCTTTGCTAAATGTTTATTCCTTCCCTCACAGAATTGTTACCAAAAAAGCCCAATTAATTGCTAAATCATTACTTATGAATAGGAAAGTCTGAATACAATCTCAAGATATACTGAAGAAAATGTAATGTAAGCTTGGAATCCACCTTCATGAGTTGGATGAAATGCTAATACAGTGACACTAGATGACCAGGCGCAAAATCATAGACACAAGACGGCTACAGATCCCACTCGCATACACACAAAAATGCAAATTTGCATTTCTTTTTTTTTCCTTCAAAATTGTACTGAAGCCAACTGCCACCAATCTCCTTTGGGTTTCCCTCTCTTGGAAGCCCTCCTCCATGCTGCTCTGGCTGGAGGTCGTTGATTCTAATAAATACTTTTAAATCTCAAAACAAACAAGCAAATAAACAAACAAACAAATGACAGAATACCCAGCTTACCAGCTTTACTTTTTTAAACCTAAGCTTAACATTACATATTTAATAATTTAACTGTCAAAACTTACTAAATTAACAGCTTTCATGCACAGCTACAGCCTTAACTTATATTAAACCAGAAATGTATCACCATTAATACATCAGTATCTTTCACCACCAGATACTGTAAGTAATGAAACTGCTTCTGCAGAAGATTCATCCTGGCAATGTTAACTTCACTGTAGGCTGACACTACTTGGCTCACATTTCAAACGCAATGGAAAAGCAGATTCATGCTGGTGTTAGTATACAATTTTGTCCTACCACTACCAAAGAGTCACGGCTCACCTTGAATTACATTTAGTAAAAATAAAAAGTAGATACAGAGATGTACAACAATTTTTTTTTTTTTGACAGGCAGAGTGGACAGTAAGAGAGAGGGACACAGAGAAAGGTCTTCCTTTTGCCGTTGGTTCACCCTCCAATGGCCGCCGCGGCCGGCGCACCGCGCTGATCCGATGGCAGGAGCCAGGAGCCAGGTGCTTTTCCTGGTCTCCCATGGG